AAACAGCAGCCTCGGAAACACTGGGAAGAAGCTGAGGCTGATGTCCCTTAAAGCAGCTGGCAGGGYGGCTCTTCCCGGTTCCCTGGAGGCGCGGAGAGCAGTTAAGACGGAGCAGCTGTGTTTGTTGGGGTTTTTTTCCTTATTTTCATTTATATTTTTTCCTTCGCCCAGCAAACTGCCGGGTGTTAATTCCTCTTGATTTGCCGCGTCTCCATGCAGCCCAGTTTGGAGAGGCCGTCCCTCGAATAGGGTTGATTAGACTCCTCTCCAGCGTGCGTCACCCAAACATCCACTAATTCCACTTTATCCCAACAGTGTGTCGGGCTTTGCTGACGCTCCAAAGAACAAGGCTGAAATTGCCAAGTTAATTATATCAAGTCAGCGCAGCCCAAGTCCGGAGGCCTCTGCCTCGGAACAGCAGGGRTCCCCAGGGATCCCCAGGGGACRCAYCCGAGTGGAGAGGGAGATTCCAGCRCTCCCGTGACCTCCACCCCAGCCCCGGGGCTTCCGCGGAGCAGGGCTTTGCCCCGGGGAGCCCCCGCTCTGCCCCGGCTCCTCTCGTGCCCGAGCGGCKTCACCGCTTGAAGCTGCTGCTTCTCTGGGGCTGATGTGGCCCCTTCCCTTGCCCTCCTAAAGGCCATTCCAGCAGCTCRCGGGGTGGGAAGAACATAGCCCATTGTAGGAAGCTGGGAGCATGTGCCTCATGGCCCCTAGGGCTTTTTCACTGTGGCCACCATCACTTCTGCCCCCTCCTCCTTAACCAGGGGGGAAATTCCCCACTGCTGCTCCAGGGGCTTTCACAGTCGTGAGGAGCCGTTAGATCTGAGGCGGGAGCAGCCGCCGAGGGACAAGGTGGGAGCAGGTACCCTATAGAGGCTATAGATAGAGGCTGTAGAGGCTACAGATACCCTATAGAGGCTTCTCCACCAGAGAGGATAAAAAAGTACAACTRGGGCTCGGGGAGCACAGGGTGAACAGCGTTAGAAATTGTAGAAGTCGCTGCTGGTAGAAATACCCCAGTTCTGGGCACTTCAGCGACCTCCACGTTGTGAGAGTGAGGGGAATTCAGAGGATCCTGATGAGGACGGTGGACGGCAACCTGCCAAAAAATCAAAAGTTTCAAGTTCTTTCCTTTAAGGGGATGAGATTAAAGGGAAAAAAAASGTGTAAGGTAATAAGTGGGCTAGAAAAAGAAGATGAGGGCTGTGTATTCGTCCTACCTTATCCAGCGAGGATATGGAGCAGTCAAATTGAAAAGGCAGCAAATTCCAAATGAATTTCAGGAACTACTCACTGAGACCACCTGTGTTCAGACTCTGGTGCCTCTTCCACAGCGAGCACAACTCAAGGGCAATTTGTGTGTTTGTGTGTGTGAGTTATGAGAATACCCAGAGTTAGGAGGGAGGCAAGTGTTAACGTTCATGGGAGGCTCTTGCTCTGCCACGGGGGATCTGGCCCCCAGTTCTGACAGCCAAGGGCCTGATACCTAATGTTAGCACTTCCTTTTGGGGGCAAAAGCTTGGGGATGGGTAAAAACCCCATCATCTGCATGACTTGCTGCTGGTCCTTGACCTTGAGACAGCGCTTGGGACACCTGGGCTTGCTTGAATCTGCCGCATCCCTATCAAACCATCACYATTATTATTATTATTATTATTATTATTATTATTATTATTATTATGTCCCTGGAAGAGCTGTGCAAACCTCCGTCTGCTCCCTGGCTGCAGCCCCAGGCGTTTTCGCCTGGTTAAGCCGTCAGCAGGGAGCGTTTCCTGATGGAAGGCTAATTAAAACGGCAGCCTTGGGGGACTCCGCTCCTGCCCAGCACGTATTAGCGGCAGCTTAGGGACATTTYGGGTAGCTTTTAAATACTGCTTCTTAGCATCTTTGTTCCGACGGAGTTCATGGGTCTGTTTCACTCCCGGCCGCTGTTCTCAAGCACAGCGGGATTAACCGGCCGAGCTCCCGGACGCGCGAGCTGCTGCTGGGTGGCTAAGGGCAGCGAAGCTCCCGGGTCCTGGAAACAACCCCCAGCGCCCGGGTCCAGCCTCCCTGTGAGAGCCGCGGCCGCTCTCCGGGCTGGTGTGAATGTTGGAAAGCCTCTTTTCTGCCTGTGGAGGCTCTCGCTGCCGGTCTGATTCTCGTCTCCCCGGTTCCAGTGTGTGTTTGTGCCTAGAAACGCAGGCGACAGTTGCCCAGGTCAGACCCTTCACGTGTGGAGATGGTGACCATGCAGAAGGGAGCCCCGGAGCTCCTCGGTGGTGGCAGTGCTGGTGGGGAGCCCATGGGCGCTTCTGGCACCGGCCGTGGAACCCTGCCCACAGGCAGCTCCTTTCCTCCGGGCGACCGGCGGGAAGGCTCTTCGTTAAGCCCTGGAGAGGAGGAATGTCTGCAGGCACCTGCCTCCCTGCCGGTGCACGCAGCCCCAGTGCTGACACGGGGCCCCCTTCTCCACTCCGTGCCATTCCGGGCAAGGCAAGCATAGAAAGAGAAGCCCCCCAAGCTCTCACTTTCATCTGAAGCTAGATCTTCAGGCTACTGTTTTCCTTCCTGGCACAGCAAAAATAAACCAAAAAATCCCACACAAATCCCAAACCATCACAAACTGTCAGCAGGCTCCGTGAACCCACACYAGTCTCTCGAGTCATATTTTAGGCTCAGGAAAGCTCTTCACAGACAACACCCACCTCCAGCATGTCGAGAGAGACCTTAACCGTCAGTTTACAGCAGCTGGTGCCTCGGAGAGGAGAGCTGCTCTCCCCGCCGTTGTTTACAGAAAGTAGTAGGGGAAGGAAGGGTGCAAAACCTCCCAACTCCTTCTGCAGCGTCAACCAGTGCTGCCCTTAGCTGCAAGGAAGGGCACGCAGGGTCCTCCTGCGAGTTTTGTGTTCAAAAAAACTCACACCATTCGCATCCCACTGGATAAACGAGTGCAAGTGGGGTTCCAAGGCAGGGACCTGATATGCCTAGGGACTGCTTTGCTGCTTAAGGTTTTGGTCCTGCCCCTTCTGCCCATGCTCAAAGCATCACCAAAGGGACCAGGGACCCTTTGCCTAGAAGCCCTGGCTTTGCAACGGGGTTCCCAAACCACTGCTTCCTCTGCAGAGTCAAAAAACGGGAGCACTAGGTCACCTGACCCTGTGCTTCCTCCTCCTCCTCCTCCTCTGCTGGGGAAGCAGCTGCTCCAGGGGGATTCCTCCCCCCCCCCGGTCCCGGTGAGCTGGCGGCAGCGCAGGGTGCTGCAGCCCGGCCGCGTCAACGCCCTGCGGCTGCGGGTGCCCCCTTGCCCGCAGTGCTGGGCCCTGGGCTGGAGCCTCCCGGCAGGATGCAGCCCATGGCAGCCCTTCCTGCGCCGCACCGTGCCGTGGGGTGGGTGTTTTCTGCGCTCGCAGTGTCGGAATGCAAGCGCATTCCAAGGAGCGGGCACGGGCTGCTTGCCGCTTGCCCTGCCAGCTGCCAGTGGGTTTCTTCCCTGCTGTTCAGACAGCTGCAGTGGCAGTTCGTTAGCTAGGCRGCCTTTGTGGAGAGCTGGGAATTCCTGCCTCCAAGGGCACCCCTTGCCAGATAAACAAATGCTTCGGTGTCTGCGTTTCCATCCATCGCCTCCAGCGACGTCTAGATATTGCCTGGGAGTCTGAATGTCCGGAGCTGACAGCCGCATCCATCCTCTCCATCCATAGTGCAGATACAGTCGCTTCCCACGTGGGACTTGTGTGGCCGACCCGTGGCAGCGCCAGGTGCTGGAGGGCAATTCCCACTGGGCTCTTAGCTCTTGGCCCCGCTGGCCCTGGGGTGGACAGGAGCCTGGGGTGTTGGAGCCTTCAACAGCGGGTCCTGCCTTGCAGCCCCCTGCCTTCCGAGGGGGAAAAGCTCCGTTATGCCTGGGTTTTRGGCCAGAGACGCCTTTGTGCTCCAAAGTACCGGAATAGACCCCAGTCACCATCGAAGGAGCTCCGTATCCTGTTAGCTTTCCCCCCAAAGCGGCCATTCCCTCACTCTCTACGCTGAAATCCTAAATCTGGCCGGGTTTCTCACTCTCCCTGTCAGGAGATCCCTGGGTTACAGGAGGGCTGGATCTCTTGGAACAACCCAGGTGGGTGGGAGAGGAGGGGTCATTGGCACAATAAAACGCTGGCGTCGAGCGGATCCAGTGGATCCATGTGCTGTTCCCTTGGCAAACGGCTGCTCGGCYTCATTAGGAGCGCAGCCCCTGGCCTCCGGGATGTGGGCGGGATTTGCTCTGCGGCATCTCAATGGGGATGAGCACTTCTGCAGCGAGGGGAAAGAGAAAAGGATGAGACCGGCAGGAATTATTCTGCATGAATTATGTGCTCTGCTTTCACGCTGACCTATTGAGTCAGCAGTGAGAGCCGGATTTCCTAGAACAGCCTTTCATGCCGGATTTTGGATATTTTCTTCTTTCAGCCCCGAAATACTGTGAGAGTGGCCTTTGTCACAGCAAGTGGCACTGTGCACTCCAGCTGCACCATGGAYGCGGAGGACATCACAGGATTTGGATACAGTTATCCCAAGCCCTCGCCTTCCCGGTGGCCGGGGGCTGCTGCCTGGGCAGGGAGCAGGGAAGGGATGGGAGCAGCGCTGGCRGGAGCTGCTGGGATGGGAGCATCCGCATCAGGGCAGCGCTGGCTGCAGCACAGGAGCAGAGGCAGGAGATTTAGCAGCTCATGGAAGAAACAGTTGCATCAGATCCTGGCCTCCGAGGGTGTGAGTTTGAGGCCGTGTTTCCTGCTGCTGAGACCTGCGTCCAACACCCACTGCCGAGCAGTGGAGCTTTAAACATTGATTAAAAGCCAAAATCAAAGAGCAAGAGGGGCAAGTGGCTGTGGGTTTGTATCATTTTAAGTTATTTTGCAGCTGATTCTGCCTGCATGCAGGGACTAACCCAAGGTGACTCGGCCTTCCCCGCTCCCTCAGCATCCGGACCTGCGTGTTGCCGCTGTGCGGGGCCGCTCTTTAACCTGCTCCTCTTGCCCCTGCAGATCTTCCACATGACGTACGACCTGGCGAGCGCCGTGGTGCGCATCGTGAACCTCATCGGCATGATGCTGCTGCTGTGCCACTGGGACGGCTGCCTCCAGTTCCTGGTGCCCATGCTGCAGGACTTCCCCGAGGACTGCTGGGTGTCGCTCAACCGCATGGTGGTGAGTGCCAGGCCGGCCCGCGCGCTGCCTGCACCCGGAGCCGCGCGGCCTCACAGGGCCTCCCCGCCGCCGYGCTGGCAATCCACGGCTTTTGTTCCGAGGGACGGCGTCCATTTGATTAAGCAGAAAACACCTGACAAGCCTTAAAAATAATGCCTCTTATTGTAACTCTTAACCTCCAGCTTTCCTCCAGCCAGTTTCTCCTTCAAAAGGAAATAAAAATAAAAGCAAACAGGCACTCAGGCAGAACAGAGCAAGTGTAAAATATAAAGAAATCTGCTCGCTCCCCGTGCCTCCCACGTGCGGAGCAGGGGGCACGCGCCAGAGGTGAGCCAGCAGCCACGAGAAAGCCTCTGTTTGGGGCTTATTTATTTATTTCTTCCCACTGCAATAATCACTTATTTCCTGCAGTTGAGAGGTGCCAGGCTGGCGGTTATGGAGACTAGAGCCCTTTATTTATACAGCAGCAGCGCAGCCCGTGCAGCAGCTGCCTGATCTTCCCCCACGCTGCCTCTTTATTATTTCCATGGCAGGAACAAGGAAAGCTCTGGGCCCCCTTGTGCTTCTGTTACTCAGGTGCGAAAGGCCAGAGAGCAGCTGGTCCCGGCGAGCTCAGAAACGTAGCCACAGATCATCCCCATCAACTGAAGCGACTTGGCCTTGCTGCTCCCGCAGGACAGTTCCCGAGCTGCAGGGCTCCAGGCATACTGAGAGTGGAGCTTGATGAGGAAAGAGGTAAATTTGGATGGTGTAGGAAAAGAGTCGGCTGGGCCAGAGCAGTCACAGTCCAAAAATTACCTTCAAGGTAACTATGTAATGAAGGAAAATGGAATTTTTCTTTATTACACAGGCTACAGTCTTGAAAGGTGCCAGAAGGCAGGGCAGAGGGAGGAGAGATTTGGTTTAGGGCTCCGTCTCAGCCGCAGGAGCGAGGCAAGGTGGGGAAGGAAGCAGCCCCTCCAGAGGAGGTGACAGAGGAGGGCTCTGTGCAGAGCAGAGCTTTGCTGCGCGAGGGCTCACGCTGCGCTGCTCGTCTGCTCAGCCTGCAGAGCCTGTGAAGCTGGGAATTAAACTTGCCATGTGTGATGTTCTGGGCCGCTTCTCCTCTGCAGCAAAATCACCTCCACTTCTTCCATTTAACGAAAGTGAAAAAAAATGTTCATCTTAGTGCTTCTATCAGATAATGGAGTCTCAGGAAGCCTGGATGAAGAATTGGAGGGATGGTAAAAGCCCCAGCTATAGTCTAAGTGGCTTCAGCCCCTGAGCTTACCAGCAATGCAGAAGCCCCAAATAGCTTGTATTTAGAGCATTAATGTGGAGAGTGATTAGTGAGTCTGCAGCAAGATCGTTTCTTCTCACGGGGAGATTCTGGCTCCGACCTCCCGAGGTTTCCAGATGTACCATGATGAGCAGGGTGGGAGGTGRCAGGCTAGGCAGCCGGGTGCTGGGATGTTCTGTACTGACCCCATCACATAAATGCTCCYGGTGCAGGAGCACCCTGCCACCACAGGAACCTGAAAACTGGGACAGAACCACTGGGGAGAAGGGGATGTTTCGAAGCAGCAGCCTGCAYGGGGAGCTGGGGCAGGTGCCCCAGGGCCCTAGGGAAATTCATGGAACGACCATCCCTTAGCAGAGTGCTGCAGCTCTTCTGGATTCCCACCTGGAAAGTCGAGCAGCCTCAAGTGGCTACTTGGCAATTCCTGAAACCAACACTGCCTCTGCCCCAGCAGGCGGGGAAGATTTATCACTTCCCATCTGCTTCTGAAAGGCTTGATCCTCTTCCAAGGTATCTGTGAAGGGTCTGGTGTTGCCAAAATCATATCAGGGGCTCGATGAACCTCTGGGTCCAATTCATCTTGGCAATTTCTCAGCGCTCCGTATTTCATCTTTAGCAACTGTGGAAGGATTCTCTGTAGGACTCCTGTCAGAACTGACTCCGCAGTGGCAGGGAAGGATGTTTGCAGTAGTAATTGCTCAGCCCTAATCCCAGGAGCTTCAGCCCAATCCCCACGGCGCCCATTATTAAAAAGGGAAGCGGCAGCGAGGCGGCTGCGCGGAGCCCGTGTGGGCAGCAGCAGCTCCCTGCGACCCCTGCCTGGCAGCTCCTCGCCAGGGAAGCCTGAGCTCTGCTGAGACCTGAGAGCTTCGGAAACAAGTAGCTGCTCCCTTGGGTATTTTGCCAAGCTGAGAAACCCTGCAGGGAAGGCAAAGGAAGGCAAATATTCCCCACGTTGAATGCAGCAGTCTTGCATAAGCAATACTGATGGTCTTCCTTGYACCAAAGGAAGGAGAGCAGCTCCCCGGCAGAAGAGAGGACGAGAAGCCGAGGCAGCCTGGGCTGTGCATGGAGCGATCCTGGCTGGATCTGCTCTCCTGGCCAGCACTTAGGGAAGTGTCTGGGGAGGGCAGTGACACACAGAGGCAGTAACCTAAGCAGCAGCAGCACCCGTAACAGCTCTGCCCATGTGAGGCTGCTGAGAAGGGGAGAGCTCCCAAAGGAATGAGGCTGAAGGGGAGAACTCCCAAAGGAGTGAGGCTGAAGGGGAGAGCTCCCAAAGGAGTGAGGCTGAAGGCGAGAGCTCCCAAAGGAGTGAGGCTGAAGGGGAGAGCTCCCAAACGAGTGAGACTGAAGGGGAGAGCTCCCAAAGGAATGCTGCTGCCGGGGCAGCCTCCGGGAGGTGTCCCCAGCAGGCGCCTGAGCAGAGACATGGAAGCGCAGGCACGGAGCCCTGAGAAGCCCTTGTAGTCCTGCCAGGGTAGATGCTAAAAGCAGGCAAGTTTCACAAACCACTTCAAAGTCATTTTAACTCCCTTTTGCAGGTGCTCTTAGTGCCTGCCATGAGTTTGAGCTGACATTCCCCTCAACTATGTTCCAGCACGGATTTGCAGCTCCATTTCAGCTTACTTTGAGATTTCCTTAGCGAGCCATCATTTTCTTTGGGTAGTTTAAGGCCTCATTTACCTACCCTAATGGACCGTTCTAGGCACCCCAGTGTACTTGAACTAATAACACCCTCCCCTGAGGGGCTGCTGTGCTGGTGCATTGAGTGTAGCAGGATGACTGTTAAGGGGACCAAGATTTATCAGGATAAAGCACCACGAGTCAAGATAAAGCACCAGGAGGCCACGTCCCATTTGGAGCCAATGCCACTGGCGTGGCTGGAAGCCCCGTGTTCTCATCACGCTGCTGGCTCTGCAGAGCAGAGGGTGCCACGCCGGCCTACCAAGGAGAGAGGTGCTGAGACCTGCACRTGGGGAGTCGTCACGGCCCGTGACCGCCCAGGGATCACCCGTGGGCACGAAGCCTCTGCTGCTCCTTGGCCACGGTTGCCTCTGTAGGAGAAGGGGAAGCTGCTGGGGGCCGGACCACCCTTGGCTCTTGCCCTGCTCTAAGGGGAACTTTTTCCAGTGCAGGAGGCGCCTGTGTTGTCCCCGTGCCCGGGAGGGGACAGTGCAGACAGGCCGGCGGCGGCTCGCGCTCCCCGGCTCTGCATGGGCTGCTGCTTCTGTGTCCCTTTGCTGCCCCTTGCGCGGCTTTGCCCTTCTTGTTGACAGCGGGAGGCGGGCCTGTCCCGCATCACGTAGCCGATGCCGGGCGCCGCCGAGGCGCCCTCGGCGCGCGCTTGTCTCCCCAGCAAGCACTAGGGCTCTCCGGGGCGGCCGCGCGCCGCCCGGGCACCAGCAGCTGCATGAGTGTGAGCCCCCCGGCTGCCCGCCAGCTCCCTGCAGGGCTTGCGGCCTCTGGGACAGTCCCCGTCGGCTCCGGGGCCTTCGCTCCTGCCCGGTGCTGCTGGCTCCCTCCGCATGGGGCCTGCAAAGCCACCCTGCGCAGTGACCTTCAGAGCGGCCGCGGCACCCACAGTGGCCCCATCCGTAGCGTTAGCACCTGCCCAGGGACAGCAGGAGGCCTGAGGATCGCGCAGATTGGGTGCTGCAGTGAAGGTGTTTTCTCACATACCTTATAATAGGGAATATGTGATGACAGTGCAGTTACTTTGCAGTTTTGTGGCAAGGACTTTCTATCACACAGTACCCACAGGGTGGCAAAGGTACCTTGAGCTGTACCACAAACTCAGGCTGATCAAAGATATTGAACGTTGTTTTTTCCTTCCTCCCTGGCCCATGATGCGGTTGCGGAGGTTCCAGTGGGAAAGCACAGGACGTCCCCGAGAAGCCAGTGACACCGGCTGGTTTCTCACCAGGGTTTGTTACAGCTTTCACATTAGGCCATTTCTAGTCTGTTCACTCCTCGGAAAGAGCCCTGCTTCACACTGCTTCACACTGAAAAGAACAGAACCCTGCCTGGACATTATCATCTGAATTCTCTGTCCCTCCTATCCCTTCTGTTAACGACCAGAGTTCCTGAACATTTCATTAATTGCTGGAGAATACATGATTTTCCCCACTTCAAAATCTTGCTGCTGGCAGCCTTGCTCGGGCTCTCTTGTACCAGTTCTCTGTTAATTTCCCAGCAAATAATCCTTTGCATCGGTTTCTTCTCTTGCACATGGGTAACTTTGGAAAGATCCCAGCACATCATCCCCTTTTGCCCCRGCTCCCCAGTGTGTTGGTGTCGCTGGATTCCTTTGGGGAAGATTTTCCTGGAAAGAGCACCTGGAACTCGTGGAAAGCTGGAACCCCAGCCCAAAGTGGKCACTGCCCCTTGTTTAAGCATGTTAAACAGGGGTTGTGGGGCCCGTTTCTGGGAGGTGCTGGCCKCAGCAGAACACCTCGCCCCCGCTGAAGCTCTGTGTGTGTGTGTGTCCATCTCTGCAGAACGACTCCTGGGGCAAGCAGTATTCCTACGCRCTCTTCAAGGCCATGAGCCACATGCTGTGCATCGGCTACGGGCAGCAGGCGCCCGTGGGCATGTCGGACGTGTGGCTCACCATGCTCAGCATGATCGTGGGGGCCACCTGCTACGCCATGTTCATCGGCCACGCCACCGCCCTCATCCAGTCGCTGGACTCGTCGCGGCGCCAGTACCAGGAGAAGGTAGGAGCGGCCTCCACAGCCCTTCCCCATCCCGCGGAGCTCTCACCTCATCCAGAGGCCGGGAGGGACCTGTGTCAGAGGCCACAGGGGCCATGGTGTTGTCCCCACGGTGGTTACTAGTCACTCAGGCCATGCAGTCAGACTGCAAGACCCTCAGGAAGAAACAGATGCTCTTGTTGCAGTGGGTTCAATGTGAGCAGCAAGCATCAGGCTAAGGGCTGTGAGTTGGAAGGGTGAATAAGAGGCTCGTTGCTGTGCAAGGGGTTTGTCAGGTGGTTCCAGGACCCGGCTTGAGACACAGAAGTCCCAAAGCTCACCCATGAAAAGAGTTTGCAGTAGCGCAGAGTAAAGGCAAAAAAACACCAGGGGTGAATTGTACTTTGAGGCTATGGAGGCGCTCAAGCCAGAGCTGGAGCCAAGGGGAGGAAAAGCCCAGGGGAGGATGCAAGGGGGGCTGGGAGGCCAGCAGAGCACTGGGCTTCCCACTGCACTGTGCCCCAGCCTCAGCTTGGCTGGACCCAGCCTAGCTGGAGAGAGAAGGACACTGCAGCACTCGGAGTGCAAGCTGATCCCATCTGTGCATGCAGAGCATTTATTCAAATGGGCTGGAAGGGGCCTAGAAGTCAAGGACTGACTTGCAGATTCAGCCACCTGGTCACCGCAGCAGCAGCCAAGTTTTCACCTGCATGTCTGGGCACTCTGATTTTTTTCCCCGGCTGGACGTGAAGACAAAGGCAGAGCTTGAGCCTAGGAGTCTGATTCCTGCTAGGTTCCAAGGAAGTCGGGCACCGGCGTGCCTGGCAGGAGGAGTGTGAGGTACTAAAGCCTGGTGAGAATGTYGAGATGTGAGTGAGAGGGTTCACAGACCTGGGAGAAAAGCATCCTAACAAAAGCAGTGGGTAAATCTTTAGCAAAGGACGTATTTCATGTGCAGTGCTTATAGCAGGTTTGTTTCCCCAGGTTTTCTCCTAGGAACAGAGCCTCAGGGATTGAGTACATTCAATTTCCTCTTGCAAATGGGACAAGTGATGGCCTAAAACAAATATGTATTTACTTTGTGCGTTCCTTAGCACTTGAATAGTCATGATTAAAATGAGGCTGCGTCGTGATTTGCAGCCCTGCAACTCAATTTAGTTCAGTCCTCACGGGACAACGTGCCTGCTGGAGCATGTTAGAAGCAGAGGATCTCAGCGGGTTTGCAGGGTGGCCTGGCCGAGCAGGAGGCAGTTTGCAGAGCTTGGGTTGCTCCTCACCTCAGGGGCTTGTGGGCTAGAGTCTCTTGTGGGTATTTAGGCAGCACCCCAAGAAAGGGGAGATGCTGGGGAGGGACAGAGGGGCAGGCGTGCGCAGAGCGTCAGCGCAGAGACATCCCCCGGCCGCTTTACTGGCCGCCCTTGCTTTGTAGAACCTTCAGGACCAGGATCAGGAGTGAGTCTAGTGAAATTTCAGACGGGGCCGCATCTCTGCCAAACCAACTTGTTCTGCCCTTGTACTAACAGCTTCTGAGGCGAGGAGGAAAAGCCAAGATCTGCTGGCGTTTGGCTTCAAGAGCAGGCTTCTCTGTAAACAGCATGGGATTTGGCCCCGTCTTTCACTCTGGTTGGATTCATTGCCCAGGGAGGCTGTGGAGTCTCCTTCTCTGGAGATCTTCAGAGCCCACCTGGATGCCACCCTCTGCCACATGCTCGGGACATCCCTGCTGGAGCAGATTGGCCTATGTAATCTATAGAGGTCCCTGCCAACCTTAGCCGTTCTGTGGCTTGGACACTCCATCCCTATCCTCCCAATATTCTTTTGTTGCAGCCCCTGAATGTCACACTGTGCTGGTTTCTGCAAGAGAAGGAAGCCCACAGGGCAGATGGGCTGCTGAGAAACACAGAGATTTGGAGGAGGAGGTTGAGTCCTCCAAGAGCGTGTGGTGCGGAGGTGCCTCGGGATGTGGGACCTTTCCATATACCCAAGTGCCACAGCGCACTCCCCCTAGCTCAGGGTCTGGAAGCGGCACGACCGCCACGTACCTGTGGCTCTGTGTCCCCCAAAAAAAGCTCCCCGTCAGGAGAGCTCTTCAGCTCCGGCACTATGAGGTGTTTTATTTGCAGGCCCAGAGGCAGAGCTGGAAGGGACTTTGTGTCCGTCCTGTCCTGCCTTGCAGTGTCTCATGCCCCCGGGGGACTTGCCCATGGTCACGCGGGCCGGCAGTGGCAGGCAGGAGCTGAGCACTGTCTCCAGACCTAGTGACTGACTCCACTGGGGCTCTGCAGGCAGAATTGGTTTCTTTTTCCTGGGAGAATATCACCCCAGGTCCAGGCTGAAGGAGCCTGATAGGCAACGTTCCCAGGGTTAATGGTGTGAAGCTGCGTGTTGTAGCTTGGCTGGTTCAGCAGCTGCAGCCGGAAGGGAGCTCACGCGACTCTCGTCCCGCAGCGCTGCCCGCCTCTCCTCCCAGCTGCACYGTGTCAGCTCACATATTGCGCCTCTCTCATTTCCAGGCCGTTCCTCAGCTGCCTGGCTCCGTGGCMTGGCAGAAGCTGTTACCTTCCTTTGTTTTGGGGGTAACTCTCTGCCAGATGAGGGGCTTGAATCATCTTACTGCAGGGCCCAGTGAGTGCCCCAGCTGGTGCAGGGTGACAGAGAAGGAGGTCCATAGACAAGAACAGAGACGTAATTCCCCATCCAGCTATTCTTAGATTATCTCAGGCCCTAAAACTTGAGTTTATCTTAGATGGTGACTGCAACTGTCCAACAGCCTGCAGTATCTGTAACTCGTAAGAGAGGTAAATGTGTTCCCTGTTTTGAAGAGAAGTAAAGTGGACAGAAAGGCAAGTTATTTCCATGCTATCTTCACGTTCCTCTATTAGCTTCCTTTTTCCCAATGCATTAAAGCTCGGCTGGATTAACATTTGTGCCAAGTCACCACACATGCCACCCTCCACATCCTCCTCAAGAGCCTCCGTATCCCTCTGCTGGGATGTCTCCCTCGGTGCATCCCAGGAGTGGCTGACRAGGAGCTGCCGCTCTCAGCAGGACAGAGCTGAGGGCTCCCCAGGTTCTCGGCTCTGTTCGGGGTCCGTCTGCTGCCCTGCTGTCCTCTCAAACCCTCTGCTCTCCACACGCAGCCCCCTGCTCCCCACTGCCCCTGAGCAGCCTTTTCAATCCCTCTTGTTCTAAAAATACATGTTGATGCTGGGTAGGTACTTGCATATTCACTTGTCGTTATGCTGAAGAAGCAGCTGCTGCAGCACAGGGGCAAGGGGCCAAGGAGGTAGCATTACAGCTGTAAAAATAAATCCCTCTACAAAAGCACCAGTGATGTCACCTCTCAGATCCTGAAACAGCCCTGCTTAACCATGAGGAGAGTTCTTGCTGTCACAGCTTCGTCCTGTTCACTGGGCTCTGGTTATCCACGTAATTCCTGTTCAACTCTCCTCATTTCAGCCCTTCCATCACTGGCCTGAACCTAGCAAAGAGGATTTAGACGTTAGGCATTGCGGAAAACTTAGTAACTGTAAAGGCTGAAGCCTGTTACCCAGACAAAGCAGTATCTGTCAGTGGCCAAGGCAGATTTGGACTAATATCTAACTAATACCTCATATCTAGCAGGAAGGTGGGAGATTCGGTGTTCAGCAAGAGCGTGGACCACATGAGGTGACCTCGTGTGGCCCTTTCCACTGCGTCCCTGCAGGACAGTCGGCATCAGGGTGAACTTTTCAACAMAATGGCTTGATATCAGTGGTCAAAGATGAAGATCTCAGACTCTCAGMCACCTCCTGCATCTTGCCTGGAGAGCCACATGCAATGCACAGAAGGAGGAAATCCCTGTGAAAAGGAGGCAGGTTGAGGCCAGATCCCTTGGAGCACCCGGTTCAGCCCCAAGGAGGCAGGAGCAGGGGCAGGAGCAGCCTCTGCCACGGCGGGTGCCAGCTCTGGGCTCACCGAGGCCTGGGMCTTCCGTGGAGCACAGCAGCCCAGCCTTGCTAGGCAGCGGGTTTAAGGAGAGCTTTCTCTGGCTGTATGTATGAAACTGGAGCTCGCTGTTACAGGTGCCGCGGGGGCCCAAAGTTTGATGAGCCCCACAGTATTCAGACACATTCCCYGCAGGACAGTCTTACACTGGCTGCTGGGCACTAGGATGCAGATACTGCCTCTCACTGCGGACATCCCTGATGAGCTCCCGTCAAGCTGGGAGGGGACGGCCAGGAGCTGGGTTGCTCTGTGCCTCTTTACTTCTCCCCAAAGCGTCTAAAACTGTCCGAGACACTAAACCACCTGGGAAAAGCCCCTTAGGCTGACGCTTTAGGGTGACTCTCGTGTTTTATGCTCTTTCCCATTAAGTAGCGAAGGGTCCCAAATGGCAGAGGGCAGAGAACGTGGTGCAGGGATCCCAGCGTGATCACATCAACCATGGCCTTGCTGAGCAGCCCCTCCCGCCCGTAGCCCCGGGCAGCGCTGCGATCCGTGCATGGTCAGCACTGCCCGGGGATCTCCATAAGGCAGAGGGATTTCCAGACAAGCAGCCTCAGCCGCTCTCYACCAGCGTGGAGTTGCACCTCAGCTGTGGTTATTCCCCCACTGCCTGTGCCGGAGGCATCAGGTGAGAGATTCTGTGTTTATTCCCAGCCTGGATGGYGTTGGAAGCGCTTTTTCCCAAGACGATTCGTCTCCCGTGTCCACAGGTTCCCAGGTGGCCTGTGCAGGTACCCAGAGGTCTGGGTGGGTTAGGCTGGAGGCCTCTTCTTGAGGCAGCACCGCAGCCTTGGCTGCAGCGCGGCAGCCTGTCCTCGCCACGTGTACCCGAGGAGAGGGCACGCCAGGAACCCAGGTGCCTGGGAAATGTAATCGCATGCAAAACGTAATCACATTTCCTAATTGGAAAAAAATTGGGGGCCTTGTTATATCCAGTTATGACTGCACTAGTTGGGTACTAACCAGGTCTGTAAGGAATGGGTCTGAGAACCGTTACGGCCCGTGTTACTGTTCATCAGAGCATTTGGGGTTGTCCC